TCACAAATCTTCAATAAAAATAATATTTTTGCATTCACAAATCTTCAGCCCATATTATTAATAATCAGTATGACCGTAAAAGAATATTTATAAATGCATATTGGTTATTGTCATCTTCTACTACTAATGATGATGTTTTAACGACTGTAATCTATAATGATAATAACAGCAATGATGATGATGATAACAATGATGAATATACGTCGTTTTTAGACGAGAAAAATATATCGTCAGTAAAAACTCTATACATATACGGAGAAAAATATGGTTTGAATAAGAGTCAATTAGCAATCATGGATCAACGTCCACTATTTGATCTGGAAGATGGAGTAATTGGTAAAATTTTACAATATATATAAAAAAGAAATTAGAGAGTAACCAGTGGGGGGTATTTATACAATTAGAGGTATTATTCAACTATTTTTTCAATAAACTTCCCACCCGCTAATAATAAATATATATATAAAGTTATGGCAGCAAATGCAGAATACATGCATATACTAAAGTTTATTAAAAGAAATCTATTGGCATCTAATGTGTTTGACGATCCCGATAAAGCACCAGAAAAAAAACTACTGACTGAACTGGCCGAAGAAGCTGCCTTCGTTGGATTTTTTGCCGAGATAGGATCGTGTATAAGTCATAACAATCTTGTTGCCATAAATTCTAGACTCCAAAAACAGTCAAAGACGACCATCTCTCTACAATTGGGGTCTCATATCGATGCAGAATTTGAAACTTTAAAGAGTGATATATTAATCGATAATCACTATAAATCCTTATTAACCTCCAAAGATGAAAAACTGGATAGAAAAATGCAATCTGGTAGGAAAAGTATATCGGGTAGCAAGAGAAGAACTATCGAACCCCTCTGGAGACACATGGTTGAATTTGAAAAACAAAAAAGAAGATTACACATCTTTTCCCTCAATGCCTCTCCACTCAAATACGAAAAAAGATACAAAGAGGAAACCTAAACTTAGCAACGAAGAAGACAGCGATGAAGATGACGAATGCGACGACGATGAAGGCGAAGGCAATAACTACAATGATGACCACGAAGAAAATATTACAGACAGAGAAAGAAAATTTGATAAAAAATGTAACGCTACAACACAGCAGCAACAACAAGCTGGCCATTCTGCGATAATTGCGAATGCGTCAACAGCATTTGCCGAGCCCTCGAAAACGACGACGACAATGATGAAGAGGCATAGTTATAACAACCCCGTCCTAGATCTCTATATAAGTCATATGGATAGTTTGAGAACGATGATACCGCTTGATCATCACGATATTAAAATTTTAATCTATGATCAATGGAACGCTGCAGTACGATGCGACAAATTAATTATTCGCATGATCTTAATAGGCGGTGTTCTAACAGTCTATGAACCTGAAATGGGTATTTCTCTACGAAGAGCTTCGTGTCATAAAAAATCTCTTGCGAGAACATTTAATCCAGTCGAAAAATTATGGATCAGTGGATGTTTTCCCCCTTTTGTGGAGATAGAGGAAGCTTTAGCAAAGAGGTCCGATGTAACAAGAGTAGGATTACCTCTATCAGAGTTAAAACACCAATCGAATCGGTGTCATTAATCACCTCCTAGGAAAGGATATTCATAAAAAAATGTTATCTATTTGGTCCAAGACTGGTCACAATCATCCACCAGTCCCTCCATCTCTTAATATAGGTAATAAAAGAAAACGCATCTAGTTGTAGTAAATATTTATTAATATTTTCATATAAGATATTATTGAAATAAAATATATTTAAATATATAAAGATATTTGATTTTTCGTCCTTATTCTTCTTCTTTTTTTTCTACTATCATCTATCATCGATCTTTCTTCTTATCCATGTCGTTGCAATCGTCGTCCAGTCAAAGAATGAATTTCAGATTCATCTTCAAAATATAGATGGTATACATCTGTACTAAACTGGGGTATTATGGTATCTTTATCACTTTGTAGATATTGTAGATACAATTCATTATAATCATCATCTTATTAGGAAGAGTAATGCTAGTGTAATACATCATTTCTCATGATGTGTTTTAGATCCATTGATGTATCGCATTATTATTATTATATGTTGCTACTGATACTTGCTTGCTACACTATATCGCACAAGAGGCTACAATTCCGTTAGGCGCGCGCATGTTTATGTTGCTAAATATTATTTTTACCTCTTTAAATGAAAATATGTTTGACGGTTTATTTTTTTTTTAAGATAAAAACATAATAAGATTAATTATAATATCGCTCTGAAACAAATTCAACTGGTGGGTTGCAATAGAAATAATTTATGAAAATAAATGATAATACATGCGGGTTATAAATACATATGTTTATAGTTAAACAAGCATGTAGATGTATAGACATTAGATATATCAATTCCAAACTCTAAACTACCAATTATAGTAATAAACGTTGCAAGTAGTACATACAAGAGGTATGAGTATTGTAATAGCCTATGATCTCGATGAGGGGGATGTTTTTGACCCTAAATATAGAAAGGCAAATATTTGTAACATTACTAGTATAGATACAAGAGGATATCCTGGAACCATCGAATTTTGTAAAGGTGTCCCTTTGTGTTGCTAATCTCTTTATCGGAAACAGATATGCTATAAGGGATGAATATATGGATGGTCATATTGTTATAAACGATAGTAAGTTATATCGTGAAGCATATTTTAAAGCTTGTCTGGATCGTCTACTCGACGATTTAATAAGTGTACATAGAGATATCGATACTATCGTATTCCCCTATGAGATAGGTTGTGGGGCAGCTGGTGGCAACTGGTGAAATACGAGAGACTCATAAGTCAGTTTGCCTTTGAATTAATTAATAATAAAAAACACTTCAAATTTATTATGGTATACAATTTAAATAAGATGAAAAATACAGACGACTTTTATAATTATTATCCATTCATTAACAGGAAATAAACCTTCGCAATTTTTATCGCTAATAGTTTCGTTATCCATATGATAATTCAAGCAAAGTTATTCGTTTTCTTTAATATATTAGTATAAGAGAAAATGAAATAAAAAAAAAGGTGGGAGGTAAACTCTTTTAAAGAATACCAGTCATGTTTAAAATACAATGAGAGAGAGAGAGAGTTATTATTTTCTAGCAACTTTCACTTGGTTTTTTGATAAGAACTGACAACACAAATGTCTAATCACAATAAAGCAAAAAATAACGATTACTATATGGGTTTTTACAAGGTGCACAATGACGCCTTTATTCCCAAAATTGGCCTGGAGTTCTCTGCTGGTTCAGACCTATATAGTCTATTCCCGTGTACGATACCCTCTAATCACTGGGCAGAGATAAGAACCGGCGTGGCTTTAAAATTTGTCTCAAGGGTCGCCAGCAACAGCAAAATTCACAAATTGAAGGAAAGTGAAGAACGACGCAAAAAGGAGAAGGAGGAAGGAAAGTATTGTGTTCCTTTCCAATCATCCTGCAAGAAATCTTGTAAAATTTTGGATGATGCATCGTTTTTTCTTAAGATTCGCTCGAGGTCTGGAATGGCGTTAAACCACAATATCAATGTCGTTTCTCATCACTTTGAGGAGCTTAATAACGAGATTATAGTCACTGTTGTCAATACTGGGAGTAAGGAGTATGAGATGGAAGCGGGAACGAGGTTCGCACAAGCCATAGTGC